GTTTATGACATTGATTTTTCTTATTTGAGGAATAGCTACCTTTTAAAAAATCATTTTTGTTTTTGAGGTCAGGTAAATTCACTAGATTTTAATCTGACTTTGATTCAGAGAAATAGTTGTCATCGACTTGGGGTTATTTGTTTGTTCAGAAAGGAGACTCACCTTGTCTTCCTATGAGATTGAACTCATATCTCTGCTGTATTTTTTATAAATAATTTTTTAATTTTTCAGTTACAGTTGATGTACAGTATTACATCTGAAAACTGTAATTAGACATTTATATAATTTATGAAGTAATCACTAGTACCCACCTGACGTCATAACAGTTATTACAGTATTATTGACTATACTAGAGGCCTGTTACACGAAGAGATTCGTGCAATAGGCCTTCCCTTCCCCTGGCTGCCGGCATCAGTTTTCCTCCGGCATCTGGGACCCAGGCCTTCGCTCCGGCCGGGAGCCTTCTGTCTTCGCTGCTCCAGCCCAGAGCCTTCCATTTTCACTCCGCCCCTTCGCGCCTACGTATGCAAATTAACCGCCATCTTTGTTGGGTTAATTTGCATATGCTCTTGATTGGCTGGTGAGTGTAGCAGAGGGACAGTCAATTTACATGTTTGTCTTTTATTAGGTAAGATTCCCTATGCTGTACTTTACATCCCCATGACCATTCTGTAACTACCAATTTGAACTTTTTTATAAAAAATATATTTTTATTGATTTTAGAGAGGAAGGGAAAGGGAGAAAGATAGAAACATCAATAATGAGAATCATAGATTGGCTGCCTCCTGCACTCCTACTGAGGATTGAGCCTGCAACCAGGCATGTGCCCTGACTGAAATCTAACTGTGATCTCCTGGTTCACAGGTCGATGCTCAGCACTGAGCCCACACCGGCAGGGCCCAATTTGTGTTTCTTAATCCCTTTACCCATCCCTGCAACCCACCTCCCATCTGGCAACCATCAAAATGTTCTCTGCATCACCCTAGCTGGTTTGGCTTAGTGGACAGAGCATCAGTCTACAGACTGAAGGGTCCCAGGTTTGATTCCCGTCAGGGGCACATTCCTGGGTTGTGGGCTCAATCCTCAGTAGGAGGAGTGCAGGAGGTAGCCAACCAATGATTCTCTCTCATCATTGATGTTTCTATCTCTCTTTTCCTCTCCCTTCCTCTCTGAAATCAATAAAGATATATTTTTTAAGAATGTTCTCTGCATCTATGAGTCTGTCTTCTGCTTATTCATGTTTCTTTTTTAGGTTTCACATATAAGTGAAATCATAGGGCATTTGTCTTTTTGTCTGACTTACTTAGCACAATACCCTCTAGGTCAGTGGTCGGCAAACTGCGGCTCGCGAGCCACATGCGGCTCTTTGGCTCCTTGAGTGTGGCTCTTCCACAAAATACCGACTTCTGCACATGGGCCACGAAGTTTCAATCGCACTGTATGTGCGCGCCCGCACGTGGTATTTTGTGGAAGAGCCACACTCAAGGGGCCAAAGAGCCACATGTGGCTCGTGAGCTGCAGTTTGCCGACCACTGTTGTAGGTCCATCCATGTTGTTGCAGAGGCAAGGTTTCATCCTTTCTATGGCTGAGTCATATTCCATTGTGTATACGCACCATTTCTTCTTTATCCGTTCATGTAGTGATGTACATACTCTTAGGTTTCTTCTGTATCTTGGCTATTGTAAATAATGCTGCAATGAACATATGGATGTATATGTCTTTTGTTTTTTGTTTGTTTGCCAAGATGGGGTTCTCCCCTCCCTCCCTAGGAGAGAGAGGGAGAGGGAGAGGAAAGAAAAAAAGAGAGAAACATCGATGTGAAAGAGACACATTGATTGGTTGTCTCCCGCACGTGCCCTGACCAGGGCCAGGGATCGAATCTGCAACCGAGGTACATGTCCTTGACTAGGAATCGAACCCATGACTTTGGTACGTGGACCGGTGCTCTAACCACTGATCACACTGGCCAGGGCTATATATCTTTTATATTTACTAGTAGTGTTTTGGGGGGATAAATACCCAGAAGTGGAATTGCTGGGTCCTTTTTTTTTATATCTTATAACCTTTGTTTTAAAGTCTATTTTGTTTGGTAAAAATATTGCTACTTCATCTTTACTGATGATTGTTCTGCAGTTCAGTTGTAATTTTTTTTTATTAGGGAAATATCAGAGGCAAACACCCCAAGTGACAGAAAGAAAAATCTGAAAATGTCCCTTCAAGCCAAGTGGAGACCTGGTCTTGACCTCCCCATAAGGACAAAAAACTGGTAGATTAGCAACAACATTCTCTGGCAGCTACCTTGCCAGGGCTGAGTCTCTCAGCCAGGACTGTCTGCTACCTCCCAACAAAGGTAGGGAGGAGAAAAGACTGTTATAGAGTCAATGCAGAGGCAATGAGAACTGTAAGGAAAATCTGAGAGAGAGAGAGAGAGAGAGAGAGAGAGAGAGATAGATAGATAGATAGATAGATATGGGGAGGACCTTAATAAAGAGTCTCAGGCTTTTCGCTCTGAGTGCCTCAAATACATTGACAAGTAGTTTTACAAAATGTTACTGAAAAGGTAAAATGCCTAATGTTTTCAAGAGTTCCCCACATGCCATATCACACTGCCAGATGAACATGGCAGAGCCCAAAGGCCACATTTTTGAAGAAAGAAAAACAAGAATAAGCCCTGTTACTCTTTAAGGAGAGAGAAGTGGAAGGCTGCTGGGACCTTTCCCACATAGGCCTGTGTTCTGTAAAGCAACTTCCTTCCTAGCAGCAGTCTGGCACAGTCCTAGGTGAGGGTCTCGCCTTTTGTCACCCTTGCTTCAATATACTCTATTCTCCGTTCAAGGGCTGTCAATTTCTCATTTAGTGTTGCAAGTCTTGAACAACAAGACATATCGAATGAGTTGAGAAAGTCCGCGATTTTCTTGATGCTGCTGGTGATGATTTCAATGTACTCCTGGTTCGCCCAGTCCTGGTGAATTTCCCGCTGCACAGGATCCTCTTGTCCTGCCATGGCCACTGCCTAAGGCCAGTTGTAATTTTTTAAAAAATATATTTGTATTGATTTCAGAGAGGAAAGGAGAGGAAGAGAGAGGAAGAGAGAGAGAGAAAAACATCAACAATGAGAGAGAATCATTGATCAGCTGCCTCCTGCACACCCCACACAGGGGATTGAGCCTGCAACCCAGGCATGTGCCTTTGACCAGAGTCAAACCCAGGACCCTTCAGTCCATAGGCTGATGCTCTATCCCAGCGGTTCTCAACCTGTGGGTCGTGACCCCTTTGGCGGTCGAACGACCCTTTCACAGGGGTCGCCTAAGACCATCCTGTATATCAGATATTTACATTACGATTCATAACAGTAGCAACATTACAGTTATGAAGTAGCAACGAAAATAATGTTATGATTGGGTCCCAACATGAGGAACTGTATTTAAAGGGCCAGAAGGTTGAGAACCACTGTTCTATCCACTGAGCCAAATGGGCCAGGGCAGTTCAGTTGTAATTTTGATGTGGTTGTGGAAGGATTGAGTACCTATGCTGCCATATTGACCTGAAGCTTTCTGCTGGTGTTTTTAAAGCACTTGCAGCAAATGGATGGTTAGTGATATTTTCATGAAAGCATCTTGGACATGGTTAGGTGTCTCAGACAAAAATAACTTAACCATAAATTCATTATCAGTGAAAGTAGTTGCTTCCAAATACACACTGTCTCTGTGAGTTGTGGAGAGTGCCTGGTCTCCTTAGGTGGTTTCTTTGTATACCCCATAGCATTTCAGAGACCTGCAGTGTACTAGTATGGTACACTGCACCTGTGCACAGTATTGGAGGGGAGAGCCCCATCTTGGCAGAGTCAGAGAGCCCGAACTTGGGGAGGCAGTTCCACACTTGGCTGGTTGTATTTCAGACATTATTCCTAATATGGCAGGTTGCTGTAATACATAGGCCCCAACTTGGCCAGCTTCCCAGACAACACAAGTGTGAAGACACACTGCGTTTACCTGGACTACCACTGCTTCACATGAACTTGCTTTTACAAAAGGACAGGGAGGCCTGTAGTTTTCATCAGTGATCTTCCATCCCCTTCACTTTCTTACTCAGCCCCCCTTGCGCAAGAGCCTCTGTCCCACTGCTGCCAAGGCACCCGCCCAGGGGCTGGTTTCCACTGCGTGAGGCAGCCACTTTCTGTCTGACTTCACAGAGTGGTTTCTCTGCTTCTTGTAGTCTGTAGTCAAGGTTCAGTGGCCAGGGAGAGAAAAAAAGGAACTCTCTCAATCCCAGCAGGCAGGGACCAGCTAATGTTTCTTTTTGTCCCCTCCTAAATAAAGCCATACTTGTGTGTGCCTACAGGGATGGGCAAAAGTAGGTAAGAACTCTGTGCCAAAATGTGCTTGAATATAGCAAGTAGACTACAAGAATGTGTAAATACTGAAGGCCAGCAATTTGAGCACTTGCAAGATTGTACCTAAGTGCACTGTGCCATTGTGACATTGTTTTGAGTTAATAAAGCTATTGTAATAATCACAACCTGTATATCTTTTTCCATATGAACAACTGTAAACCTACTTTTGCCTACCCCTGTACATTCTAGAAGTCAGATATTTGTAACTATGGGAGTAGCCTGAACAAGATGTAAATAAAAGCAGACTAACAATTCAGAATGATATGTAACCAGTCTATAAACAAGTGAGCAGGCCAGATCTCGGGCCTCTCTCCACTCTGCTTAGGACACTGTTCTTTCCATCTTTATTTGTTTCCCTGGGCAGAAACACCTTCTTCTCATGGGGGAAAAAAAGAATAATAATGTTGTCTGGGCCTATGTGGTGTTCCCCCTGGGAACAGTTGGTTACCTAATGACTTGAGGGAAGGTTTGCTCTGTTTGCTTACTTTTGTTTTTGTTTAGCATGGTATTGCTGTGCCTGAGGATTTGAGAAATTCCACTCTTCCAACCTTCCAGGTTGGAGGTCCTTATTGGGACACTGTCTCATTCATTTCCTATTAAATGTAGGCTCAGGTTCAGAAGACGAAAGACCTGCTCAATAACGTGGCCTCTGACGAAGCTAATTTAGAAGCCAAAATTGAAAAGAGGAAATTAGAACTGGAAAGAAACCGGAAGCGACTCCAGACTCTGCAGAGTGTCAGGTAGATATGAACACCCAAAGCATGAGTGGAAAGCTGTCTTTAAAAGTTCACACAGATTGAGAGAATGTATTGTCAGTGATATTAACCCTTCAGGCAGTGGAAGAAGCCTTGAATAAGGCTATCTGTACTGCAGAATGTACGTGTGTTGCTTGTTCAAACAAGCACACCACTAAACTCATTCTCTTTACTGCTTTCAGTATGTCTGGAAAACTGCTTAATTCTTGAACTTCCATTCAGTTTTTATAGCTTCTTGGAATTTAAGGCGAAGTAAGTAAATCCAGATGGTAAAAGTTATACAAGACTTCGTCTTCTAAGATCTGTGCCTTGCCATAAATTAGGTGGAAATAAGCATACTTTCATTTCTTGGTTTAAGTAGACTTAGACTTTTATTTCCTCACCAGTAATTCATCTTTCTTCTGACTTTCCCTCACTGAAAGTATGTTTTCCAGGGAATATAGATAGATGATAGTGGTAGACTTTTATTTCCTCACCAGTAATTCATCTTTCTTCTGACTTTCCCTCACTGAAAGTATGTTTTCCAGGGAATATAGATAGATGATAGTGGTGCAAAACACCTTCTAAGTCATTGGAGCCTTTCATGCATGTTCCTCATATTTTTTGGAATCTCTCTTTCTCTCTCATTTCCTTCCCTCCTCCCTCTCATTTTGTACCCTCCTTCCCTTGCTGTTATTTTTGTTGTTGTTCCTTCTCCCATGTCACTACTCTTTCTCCCTTTTCAGTGTCCTTTTGTTTTTCTTTCTTTACTCCTTCCCCTGTTTAGCAGTACCTGCTCTAAATGTGTCTTGCTCTTTTGAGATACTGGTGACTGGACCACAGTCTAGCTCAGGGGTGGGCAAACTTTTTGACTCGAGGGTCACAATGGGTTCTTAAACTGGACCGGAGGGCCGGAACAAAAGCATGGATGGAGTGTTTGTGTGAACTAATATAAATTCAAAGTAAACATCATTACATAAAAGGGTACGGTCTTTTTTTTTTTTTTTTTAGTTTTATTCATTTCAAAGGGGCCAGATCCGGCCCGTGGGGCCATAGTTTGCCCACGGCTGGTCTAGCTACTGTCCTAGATCTGTGGGGAGGCAGCACCTGGGGACAGCAGCCAGTTATTCAGGGAACATCAAAGGCTTCCTCCCAGCCCAGGGACCTCGCCTGTTCTACCTCTAGAATCAGGGCCACCAGATAGACTTGTCTCATTAAAAAGTTCTGCCTTTCAGGCGTCAATTCATTTTTGTTAAGCCTCAAATCCTTTTAATAGAAAGGTGTCTGTTTTGCTTTAGTACAAAAGGTTATAAAATTGTTTTTTAGTTTATCTGTTTATATTTTTAAAAGAACAGATTTTCCCTTCAATAAGAAAAAAGTAATTTAGCAAACCAGTTGAAATAGCTTTTTATGTTATAGTTTTAGTTTGCAATTTTATATTGTTTAAAAACTTTAATTTATAGCAACCTATATTTCCCTTTTTAGGTTAAATTTTGGCATAGCAGAGTATTATGCCCAACCTAGATAATGCATATATTTAATTTATTGATTTTGACATGTGTATGGCATATGCTAATTTTTAAACTGTTTATTGAAATCTATGGCATATCAAGTGAGAAAAAAGACTGCAGAGCTTCATTTAAGACAGCAGTTTTCAACTTCATCTCATCGCACAAGTAAACTAATTACTGAAATTCTGTGGCACACCAAAAATATATTTTTTGCCCATCTGACAAAAAATAGGTATAATTTTGATTCATTCATACCAGATAGCTCTTATTGTGTTGGCTGTTGTCAATTTTCTTTTATTTGACAATCTAAGGAAAAAGAGGTCAGTGCTTCTGATTAAATAGTCAAGTATTGAATGTTTTAAAAATTCTTGTGGCACAACAGTGTTGAAATCACTGATTTAAGGTAATAAACTTAATGTTTATTAAAAAAATGTGTCAACATAAGAAAGATTCAAACCTGTGAAGAATTTTTGTGAGTTTATTTGAGCCAAAGTGTCCACAAATGCCAGGAAGTAGAATCTCAACAGATTGAGATAATGCTCCAGAGAAAGGCAGTTTTGCACCTTGTTTTATGCATTACAATCAAAAGAGGAGACGTATGTGGGTGACATGAAGTCCATTGGTGATAGATTAGGGAGGCAAGAAAAAGGCAAAGTGGGAAAACCTCTGGGATTGGATAGAAAGTAAAATGATAGACACACGCTTCTTTTACTTAGGTGGGTGCAGGATAGTTAACAGTCAACAATTAATTCAACAGTGAGGGGATTTATGGTCTCCGCAGCGTGTACCTGTGCTTTGAAGGGTCTGGAAAAAGGAAAATTACTTTGACATTCCAACATGTTATCATAGATGCAAAAAGACAATAGACAGGCTCAGTTAAGGTAAAGATTAACCTTTGTCAGGGAAGATACTGGCCACCATAAATTGCTTTTAGTTGAAAAATTTTAATTTCAGACCCTGCTTTGTGGTTACTTTAGGAGTTTGCAAGGCTGCCACACAGGCCTTCCCTGAACTAATTAGGTTAGCATGTGGCCCTTTTTCATCCATCAGTGCATTCCTATATGTATCTACTAGAGGGCCGGTGCACAAATTCATGCATGGGTAGGGTCCCTCGGCCTGGCCGGCAATTGAGGCCCATCAGGGGGGCCGGCCAGCAGCGGGGAGGGACCGTGGGAGTTTGGCTGGCCGGCCCCCCAATTGGGGCCGATGGAGGGGCTGGATGAGGGGGAGGGACCTCGGGAAGTTGGCCAGCTGGTGGGGAGGGGGGCGGGGCCGCGGGAGATTGGCTGTGGGAGCACACTCACCATCAGGGGGCAGCTCCTGCATTGAGTGTCTGCTCCTTGGTGGTCAGTATGTGTCAAAACAACTGGTTGACTGGTCATTCTGGTTGTTTGGTTGTAAGGGTCGCTTAGGCTTTTATATATATAGATGTATAGAAAAGTCTGGAAGAATGTATATCAAATATTAAGTGCTTATACCTAGTGATGGGATTATGAGTAATTTTTACTTTATTTATACTTCCAGCATTATTTCAAGTTTTTATAAAAATCACATCTTTTTTTGATGAAAAAGTATGTACATTTTGGGGGGGAGGGAAGAGAAAAGGAGAAATTAGCTTCAAGCTGTTGGAGAGCTGTGAAGCATTTCATCCAGTTAATTCAAGGCTTTTTAAAGAAAGCCATGACAGAATATGAAACTCTGAATACCAATTTCAAATTACTGTATATCGATTAATCTTTCACTTTTTATTGCATTTGATTATTCTAGGCCAGCCTTTATGGATGAATATGAGAAGATTGAGGAAGAATTGCAAAAGCAGTATGACATTTATCTGGAGAAATTTCGAAATCTAGCTTATCTGGAACAGCAACTCGAGGATCATCATAGGATGGAGCAAGAGAGGTTTGAGGTAAGTGCTTAGCCCATTCTTCTGCACAGACCATTCTTTCTGGTGTGTTACTTTGTACTTGCTGACAAATCAGTTTGTAAATATCATTGTGAAAAAAATGCCAGTGAATGTTTGATATTAGTTTATTAAACTAATCTTTGATATTAGTTTATCATCAGGGTTTGGTCAATTAGGACTACAGACAGGGCTAGCATGTGACCTGTGCAGTCACATAAGACAGCTCTGAAGAGCCTGTGCTTGCTTTAATGCTCTGCTGTTGCCATCTTGAATAAATTTTTTTAACAGCATTCTTTTTTTTTAGTTGATTTCAAAGAGGAAGGGAGAAGGAGAAAGAAATAGAAACATCAGTGATGAGAGAGAATCATTGATTGGCTGCCTACTGTGTGCCCCCTGTTGGGGATCGCGATTGCAACCCGGGCATGTGCCCTGACCGGGAATCAAACCGTGACCTCCTCTTTCATAGGTTGACGCTCAACTATTGAGCTGCACTGGCCAGGCTCCTTAATAATTTTTAAGTACATTTTATTTTGCACTGAGTTCCACAAATTATGTAACTTCTCTTACTTAAAGGTTTTCAAGCCCTGGTTAATTGAATCACCCGAACTAGCTTATCAAAGACTGCTTTATATAGAGAAATCACAGTTGATTATTCTATGTCAAGAACCTTTCATCCCAGTATTTAAGGCCATTTAGGAAAGAGTATTTCAAATCCTCCTTCAGCATGTATTAATAAATACGGAATTCAGAGCAAAGGAAGTTGGACCAAGTTGCTCTCCCTTTTTGAATATCCTTAGGGATATTTCTGTTTAACCCAAGAATAGTCATTTAGAATCTATGTTCATGGTAAAACTAGTCTACAATCTCCCTTTCTTACATTGTCCCTGACAGCTTTTGGTATAAAGGTTATGCTAATCTTCTTATAAACCTGGGTGTTTGAATTAGTTGGAACTATTTTGCTCTCCAGGAGGGCTGGCTGGGAGTAACTACCACATTCACATGGACGTGTTTATCTTGACAAGGACCCTATTGCTGACATTACTGTATGGCAGAGGCAGGCAGTGGAGAGAGCCTGGAGTCCAGGATATTTTAAACATAGGTGCCTGGGAAAGAACAATAAAGAGCCATGAAAATAAACTGACCATTTTGTACTATCTCCTGGGGCCACCTCTGGGTTCAGAGAGTGTATTGAAGAACATGCTTCAGGCTGCATGTTCTTCCTTCAACAAGTACTTACCCTCTTTTTCTCCTATGGTCACATCTACTCTCTGTCCTTTTAATACCCGCCCCTCAAAATATCTTATGCATGAAATGCAGTGCTTTTTTAAAAAACGTTGATAGCATCAACAAAATTTTAAAGGCTAATTTCCTCTCCCATTATTGTTTTGACAATAATCAGGGCCACATTTTCGACCTAACTGAAATACTAGCTTGCTTTTAATCCTCTAGGAATTAAAGCCAGTATTTTATTTCTTTTCCCATCCTGATCAATCCCACCATTTAGTGTCTTTCAGGGCTTTAATTGTACAGGACAGAAAAACAATAAAATTATGCTTTACTCTTCCTAGAGTAAGAGGCCTGTAGTGCCCATATATCTATGCAGGCACACATGATGGGTATTTCATTGTGCCATTCAGTTTCCTTCAGAGTTATTGAGGTGCAGTGGGAGGAGCACTGGTTTGGGGGCCAGTCAGGCCCATTTTAGGTCCATTGTGACCTGTCTGGGAGCCTCCCTTTCCATAGGGCTGCTGGGTGATTATAGAGAGAAAGGGTATCGGGTTTCCTTCTGTAGTAGTATCTCAGGCAGTGTTAGTTCTCTTCCCCTTCTTTTTTATTTTGTTTTTTATTTTGTTAATCCTTATCCGAGGATATTTTTCCATTGATTTTTAGAGAGGCAGAGAGAGAAAAACATCGATGTGAAAGAGACACATGAATTTGTTGCCTCCCACATGCAACCTGACCAGGGCCATGGATCAAGCCTGCAACCTAGGTTACATGCTGTGCCCTTGACCAGAATCGAATTCAGGACCCCTCAGTCTGCAAGCCCATGCTCTATCCACCGAGCCAAACTGGCTAGGGCTCTTCCCCTTCTTTTGGTTTAGGTTTTTTTTTGGTTCTGTATCACAAACTTAGCAGTATTTACTCGAATGGTAAAAAATAAAATGTCCAGAAAGGGTCATCTCTTCTGTATCTTGTTTTTTCTGTTCCATAGGAAGCCGAAAATACTCTCCGTCTGATGCAGAACAAGCTGAAGGAAGAAGAAAAGCGACTACTCAAGAGTGGAAGTAAGTCTATACTTTTTTTTTTTATTCTGGAGCAGCATTTTTAGCATTGAAAAATTTATATGTATATTTTCTTTTCAAAAGGCAATTTTCTCACAACTTTTATATCTGGTACCATTTTATTTCAGTCAAGAGCTCAAGAGACTGGTTTAAGTTATATAACATTTAAAGCACATTTGGTTTTTTATGCCAACTAAAATAGTGTTTTGCTCTTTCTAAATGTTAGTTTAAATATATATAATATATAATTATAAAAGAAAAATTTGTCTTGGAGGTCTGTAGAGTTCCTTATTTTAGGGCAGATTGTTGGAGAACAAGCAACACAATGAAGTGTAAGTGAATAGATCACTTGCTTAACCCCCCATCCCACACACCCATCGTTAGCAGAGCTATCATCTATAGAGAAATGGGAGTTACCTCTATATAAGATCTAGATTCTGGGAAGGAATGTCCTCCATGGCTGGTTAGCATAGTTCACCCATGAACTAACTTCACCAAGGTGTCAAGTCAGCCTCGGGAGCTATAGCAGCACATGATCTTCCTGCTGAATTGATGGCTTTGTCTCATAGTGTTACTTCTTGCCCTTTTTTCATGATGATATATTTTATTCTCCCATGCTTGAACATAGTATACCTGGGACATCAGGCATGCTCTTTCTCTCTGTCTTTTCTTGTCTCTCTCTTATTTTGCACTTGGTCTGTGCCTCTCCAGACTCTCAGGGAACTCTGGAAGGAGAATAGGAACTGCTGGGAAATCCTCTTGGGTAAGGTTAGGAAATTCCAAGGGCCTCTCTAGCCAAAGCAGCCCCTTGCCTTTATGGTTCCAGGTCAGCCAGGAGAGCCCGAAGCTGCCCTAAGTGATAAGACCGCATGGAATTTATCCCCTCCTGGGAGGCCTGGCACAGGTAAGAGCTCTGGTTGGTTGGCTGTATCCTGCTCTGCCCCAGGCCAGCACATTAAGACCTTTCTCACTTACCTTGGTTTGTTCTTCTGAACTCAGACTTTCATTTTGTGACCCATAGGTTTGGGATCTCTTGAAGGACAAAGATTCTTAGAAGCATGTGTGATTTAATTATTTCAGAAAAATTTCCAATTTAAACCAGCTTAATGAAGGATAGCACTTAATTAGCTTGGAGTGGACAAAGAAGTTAGGAAAATATTTATGAAGGACCATTCTCATTTCTACTCACCCTAAGGTTCTTTGCTTTCTTTGCATATGTGGGAACATTGCCCAGAGTATTGGGATCAGAGAAGAAATATATAAAGGCAGACTCTATGAATTTTTCTCCATCTGTGAAAGATTCCTCCAAATAGAAAAATACAATAGTACATAGACATGAAACAAGAGCAAGAATTAGTAAAATCTAAGAGCTGCAAGAGATCATCTTGTTCAGGCCACTCTTCAGGGAGCTGATTCAACCTAGCAAAGCATTATTAAGTATCTGGGTGCTAAGGATACATGAGTGGATAAAAGATAGGGATCCTTGCCCTAACTGATCTCACATGTTAGCAGTATGCTAGCAGTGTGCTAGCATGCTAGGAGACACATAGTAAGCAAGCTGTATGGAGAAGGTGAAAAATCCCATGGGGGAAATGCAGAGCAGGGTACGAGGAATAGCGAAGGTGACAGAATTGCTGCTTTATTTATTTATTTTTTTAATATATTTTATTGATTTTTTACAGAGAGAGGAAGGGAGAGAGATAGTCAGAAACATCGATGAGAGAGAAACATCAATCAGCCGCCTCCTGCACATCTCCCACTGGGGATGTGCCCGCAACCCAGGTACATGCCCTTGACCGGAATCGAACCTGGGACCCCTCAGTCCGCAGGCCGACGCTCTATCCACTGAGCCAAACCGGCTTCGGCCAGAATTGCTGCTTTAAATAGGGAGTTAGGCCTCACTGAGGGGATGCTATTTCAGTAAAGACTAAATCAGCAGAGCACATGGAAGCTCTCTAGAAAAGACCCTTTTGGGTTCATTACTTCGTCTTGATTGGCCATTGGAGATTGATTCAACCTCAAGGCCTTCTCCTGTCCCCAGAAATCAGGACTCAAAGTTCCAGTTCTCTAATCACATGGTTGGCTTCTACTGGCAACCAGGTCCCACCGTTGGGTGAGATCCAAAAGTCACCTCATTTACTTAACAAGAGATACCATTGTTACTCTCATCATTTAAGAAAGTCATTGGGATTTGGGAGCTCTGTGCCAGGAACGGGGAGGAAGGCCAAATCTATATTTCTTCTTATAAATCACAATATCACAGTAACCTAGCTGTGATTCCGTTTTTATGGTATAGTGGAAAGCAGATGTTTATACATTTAACACATACATGGTGGGGCAAAAGTAGGTTTACAGCTGTTCGTATGGGAAAATAATACAATAATTAGTAAATAATAATACCAGAGTAACCTCTGTGTTTTGAGTACTCACAACTGTAAACCTTCTTTTGCCCTGCCCTGTATTTACTGCATGCCTACTGTGTGTCAGGCATTGTGCCAGCCCACAGTGATTGGTGAGGCTCTCAGGGAGCTCCAAGTCTAGAACTGTACTATCCACTACTTAGCCACCAGCTACATGTGGTCCTGAGCACTTGAAATGTGGCTAGTCCAAACTGAGGTGTGCTGTTTGTGGAGAATATGTAACCAGACAACCAATGGGTCTGCGCTGCCTGTCACTGCTTGAGCCAATTAAGCAGAGACAGAGTTGAATCATGTATGAGTGTTTATTCCATTCATGCTGGAAGTATGTGAAAGCAGCAAGTCATCCACAAAAATCTGCTCCGCAACCCCCCATAAGCCAGCTGCTTATATTGAACTAGAGGCCCGGTGCACAAAAATTTGTGCACTTGGGCGGCGGGGGGTCCCTCAGCCTGGCCTGTGCCCATTCACAGTCCAGGACCTCTTGGGGGATGTCCACCTGTCGACTTAGGCCCACTCCCCAGGGGATCAGGCCTAAGCTTGCAGTCAAACATCCTTCTGGCAGCCAGGGAGCCCTCGGGGGATGTTCGACTAAAGGCTTAGGCCCCCAAGGGATCAGGTCTAAACCGTTAGTTGGACATTCTTAGTGCTGCCACGGACGTGGGAGAGGCTCCTGCCACCACTACTGCACTGGCCAGCTTCTGGCTGAGTGGCACTCCCCATATGGAAGTGCACTGACCACCAGGGGGCAACTTCTGCATTGAGCGTCTGCCCCCTGGTGGCCAGTGCGCATCATAGCAACCGGTCATTCTGCTGTTCAGTCAGTGTGCATATTAGCCTTTTATTATTATTATATAGGATGTCCCTATTTCCCCCCTTTTGCCCCCTCTACCCAGCTCTTGCCCCCCACTTCTCTCTGGCCATCACCATACTGTTGTCTGTGTCCATGGGTTGTGCATATATTTTCTTTGGCTAATCCCTTCTTTAAATTCACTTCTTTAAATTTTTACTTTCAGATAAGTGCTTATAACTGCACTATTTTATATTTTCTATTATATCATTTAGAATTAAGATATTTTTTAATTGAACCCTTGTAAATTTTAGCACAATTTAATAAATTATGCTAGAAGCAATTAGGTTTTTCATGTAATGCAGATACATTTCAATTAATATTTTATTAATTTTTAATTTTTTAATATTTTAATTTGAAATAATCTTATACATGTAAAAAAAACCAATAAAATACTACAGCATATTATATGTACCCTTCAACCAATTTCTTAGGTGTTAATAATTTAAACATAACCATTATACAACTAACAAAATTTGGAATATATTTTTCTTATAATCTCTTTAATGTTACTTAATCCATTTACTTTGTTTTTGTTAATCTTCACCCAACGATATTTTTCTATTGAATTTTAGAGAGAGTAAAGGGAAAGGGAGAGACACATTGATTGGTTGCCTCCTGCACATGCTTTGATAGGGACTGGGGATCAAGCCAGCAACTGAAGTACATGTTGCATGTGGCTAGCCAGTTGTCCCAGCACCATTTGTTGGAAAGACTCTCCTTTCCCTGTTGAATTATATCAGCACTATTGTCTGCTGTACTTAATTTTAGCATATCACTGACAACTCAGTGATTTCAGTGTCAGCATGTGTTGGTTTTAGTTTACCTGCTTAGTCCTCAGTGAAACGTTTTGAGTTGTCAGAAGAAATCATGTTGAGCTTGAAATATCTGTATTAATGTTGTTTTAAAATTCATGATATCATTTGGTTTATGTTACATTGGGTACCGATTTAATGTCATAATTTTCCTGGATAAAATAAAAAGTGAACTAAGCTGAACAGTGATTTCATTTTATAATCATTACTTTGTGGTAACATTTAATCATATTCTGGTAAGGGCTTTTGGAAGGTGGTAGTTTTCAGGTCGATTGTATTGAAGTCTTGCAGGATGCTGTTATTGACACACTCTGGCTCCCAGGTTTGCTCCTCTGTGCTGCAGAGCACCGCTCTTCTCTCCATGGCTAAAGAAAGCAGAAAACGTTCACTCTGTGCTCAGCTAGACATAGCCTCCATTTCATTTCCCTCTTAGATCAGGGTCTAAGCCAGCCGTGGGCAAACTACGGCCCGCAGGCTGGATTCGGCCCGTTTGAAATGAATAAAACTAAAAAAAAAAAAAGACCGTACCCTTTTATGTAATGATGTTTACTTTGAATTTATATTAGTTCACACAAACACTCCATCCATGCTTTTGTTCCGGCCCTCCGGTCCAGTTTAAGAACCCATTGTGGCCCTCGAGTCAAAAAGTTTTGCCCACCCCTGGTCTAAGCAAAGCTTTTTTGTAGACGAACACTTCCTATACTTCCAAACTGACTTATGAGTCAGTGATCAGAACAGCAGCTGCACACTCCTCCAGTGCCATTCTTAAAACCTATGTCTGTCCCTGGGTGCAGAGTAGTTAGGTGCTGGGCAGTAAAAGCTTTTTCTCCCCACTGTGGAAACTCTCATTCTGTAGGTTTCCATAAGGAAATGTTCAACGTGCACCAAACTCCAGGAGAGTATTTAAGAAATTAATGTAAAAGGCCATGGTGTTGAGAATGACCTTTCTTTTCTTTTTTTTTTTTTTTAAATATATTTTATTGATTTTTTACAGAGAGGAAGGGAGAGAGATAGAGAGTTAGAAACATCGATGAGAGAGAAACATCGATCAGCTGCCTCTTGCACACCCCCTACTGGGGATGTGCTCTCATTCTGTAGGTTTCCATAAGGAAATGTTCAACGTGCACCAAACTCCAGGAGAGTATTTAAGAAATTAATGTAAAAGGCCATGGTGTTGAGAATGACCTTTCTTTATATCTTTATAATGGAATTTTCTCTAGTGAAGAATGTCATGAGCACGTACGTTTTCATTGCCAGGCAGTAGGTCACATCTTTCTCATGCCAGCCCTGCTCAGGCCATTCCTGTCCTGGTCTCCTTCTTGCCTCCAGTCTTGTTTTGGTGCAGTCACTGACCTTTTCAGTGGGGTATTCTTCATCTTTGTTATCCTCAAGGAGCTTGAGTTTTGGTGACACAGCCTAAGACTGAACAAAGAATTTTTTTTTCCTTCCAACTAACCAAGAACTCCTAGCTATCATGACAGCTGGCTAGTCAATTGTTTAATTTCACATACTGGAATAGTGTTTCTAGCTAATGTATCAGACCCACATTTTTCTAGCTTTGGAAAAATTAAAAAAATAAAAACTAACTGCCTATTGTTTGTATTAACTCTTCACTAAGTATCTACTAGCAAATCCTGAAGTTCTCATAAAATCTAATGCATCAAAAGAAAGGCTGAGAAGTGCATATGCCTTGCCAAGAGCCTTACTGGACAGAGGCTGGTTTAGAAGTAATGATGGATCCACCGCTCCCCCCCTCTTTTTTCTTACTGTGTTCCTGCCAGGTAATGATGACTCGGACATCGACATCCAGGAGGATGATGAATCTGACAGTGAACTGGAAGAGAGACGGCTGTCCAAGCCACGGACAGCCATGGAGGTGCTCATGCAAGGTACCAGGGCTTCTTTCCCTTGGCCTCCTCCCTGTGCCTGTCATCGAACACCACGGCCAGAACTGGGTCAGGGCTGCTTGGTAGTAAGGCCCATAAGCACACTGTGAGTGGCCCTGTTGTTTATCAGGATTTGGCTCTTAAACTGCTCAGTGGTCATCTTTGTCACTAATGCTCTTATCTGGAGTCCCAAGAAGGGCCAATTCTTATTTGTGGCTTGGTGTTTCTCACAGAGTTTACAGGAACACACTGCCTCTGCCACTGAGCTACATTCTGCCCTTTTTGGGTCCAAAGTGTTCTCAGTGCAGTTGATACCTTATAGTCAGATAATGTCCAAAGAAGGGACTTACAGAAACATCTCTGCCATTTAAAAATGTTCTTCTAATTTCTACTTTCTCACTGTAACAGATTCAAGCAATAAAATGTGTGGAGCAAATCTGGGTGAGAGGTCTTCCTCATGTTTCACTCCCCACCTTAGGCCAGGGCGTGTCCTTCCAAATTGCCTTCACACACACACACTGAAACATGGACACAAAGATCATCTGAAAGGTTTTTTACTCGGAGTGAGACCAGACTATGTGTGTGGTTCTGCAATCTGCTTTAAAAAAAAATTTAAATATATTGAACTCTTCCCATGTCAGTAAAATATAGATCTCCTTCTTTCTTTTTGATAGCTGCATATTAGTCCATAGTATGACTGTACCTGTAATTTACTTGGCTATTCCCATGTTGATAGATACTTAAGTATCTATCAATACTTAAGATACTCTTTTCCCTATAGATTTTTCTGCACATCTGCAAGTGTTTCTTTAGGCTATGTCATTAAAAGTGGAATTCTTAGGTCAAAGGTTATGTAAATTAAATTCTGAAAGATACTACTAAATTGCCCTATATTTGCCTTTAAAAACATTTCTTATCTGCCACTTATTAATTTTTGGAGCACAATTGCATTTTTATATACATAATAAATTTAAATGGTAAGTGATCTTCCATTTGTCATTTCATATTAACTTTTGTTGTTAACTGTTTTCTCTTATTTTAGGTCCACCTCTCTTTACTTACTACATTTTGCTTTGTTCATAGGATACTTAGGTGCTCTGATTTTTTTTTTAATCTTCCTTTAATTTTTTGACGGCTTCATGACATCAATAGAGGTTAGAGGTTATGACTCCTATTCTACCATATGGAAGCCAGGGCTCTAAAATGGTATGTGATTAGTTCAGCAGAACCTAGTAAAGGCACCGGTGCTCCTAAATTCTACTTCTGACAATTCACTGCAGAAGTGAAACAGCACAAGATCTGCATTTTACCTGACCCAAGGAACAGTATCTGTAACAGCTCCTGGTCGTCACTCCAGGCCTGTCCTGAGTGAACTCCCCTCTGAGCTGCCCTCACTGCCTTTCTCCGGAGGCCTGGACCTGCGGTCATGGGTGTTCGCTTCTCAGCCTTCAGGTATGAGAGCAGCTCTCTGTCTCCACCCGGTGAAGGATGCCTCTGAGTCTGCATAATCACATCTAGGCTTCCACGGGAGGAATGGAGAACCACTCTAATAATGATGATGTTTTCAAAGATGAACTTTTTAAAAAATATGTATTTTTATGATTTTAGAGAGGAAGGGAGAGGGAGAGAGATAGAAACATCAATGATAAGAATCATTGATCGGCTGCCTCCCTAAATCACTTTAGGGAAAGTGATTTTCCCCTAAAACATTTACAGAATGCATCTTTATTTTTCTGATTTATGATCCATGCTTACATTTCACTGCTCTTTTCTTTGTTTTAATGTGGAAATGCAGAAAATCCATTACCATTTGTCGGCAGTTCTGATTAGTTGGGATGCTACTTAAGTGTTTTAATTTAATTCTTCTTTTTCCCAATGTTCTAAAGCTGTGGTCAGCAAACCGCGACTCACGAGCCACATGTGGCTCTTTAGCCCCTTGAGTGTGGCTCTTCCACAAAATACCACGTGCGGGCGTACACGTACAGTGCGATTGAAATTTCGTGGCCCATGCGCAGAAGTCGGTATTTTTTGGAAGAGCCCGTATTTGTGGAAGAGCCACACTCAAGGGGCCAAAGAGCCGTGTGTGGCTTGCGAGCCATGGTTTGCTGACCACTGTTCTAAAGGAAGGCAAATCTTAAATGCTATTTTATGTCTTATTTTACAAGGTTTTTGCAATTTCTTCATGCTTTTATTCTCCCCAGGAAGACCTAGCAAACACATCGTGGGCACAATGCAAGGTGGAGACTCCGATGATGATGTGAGTCCCGACCAGCCCCCGTTAGCAGTTGTATTCTCTCTAGTCTTGGGCTGGCCTCCGTGACTGCATTAGCCAGGAACTAAGCATGTTTGACCAGCTTAGCGTGAGGTGTGGTTTCTCAGCCCGCATCCCTGGATTTGTGGCAGTTTGGCCTCCCAAGAAGCTGGACTTTCTTCTTTGATTGTTGATGGCTCACTTCTTTTCAAATGAACCTGCTTCCCCTACTTTTTCCCCCTCTCATGTTCTGTCTGCTCTCACTTTCCAAAGATGGAAGGAGCACCAGCTCTGTTAGGTAAATGCAAGACTTCCAGCTCCAAGACGCAGGTTGGTTTTCTTTTTCACCCCATCCATCCGTGTGTGTGTGTGTGTGTGTGTGTGTGTGTGTGTGTGTGTGTATCTGCTTGTTCAGAGCCAGCAGAGAGCCTTCCCCAAGAATGATGCTTCTGTATCCTGGGCAAAAAGCTACTCAAAATGGATCCCACAGTGAATGGTCAAGTTACCTAGAGGTGCCTATTCTAAGAAGGAGGAGTAAGTGCTGAGCCAAGGACAAGAAAGGTTGTGGTTTGGGAGTCATCTGGCCCTTGAACCATAACCTAGAAAGGAAGGGATGCTGCTGAGGGCCTGGGGTCAAGACCAGCCCTCTCTCCAGCTCCTTTTCTGGGGAGAGAACATGATAAGGAGGCTCTCCTGAGACCAGGGCCTCTGAGAGGCGGGGCAAGGAGCTGCAGCACCTTGATCGTTATTAAGTGGATAACTGACTGGGAAATGAACCAGAATGGGGAAACAAGGGGTCCCTGCTGGGGCCCAGCTGTTGGGGCTCTTGCATTCATCATTCTGGGCCTGCCTTCTTTGTTGCAGTCCCTGGCAATACTGTCAATCCCAAGTGGTAAAGGGTGACTAGATTGACACCAATCACAGATCTCCCCATCAGGTTGAATATCACATGTGTCTAGAATGTGGCACTAGTGGCTACACAGAGACAGCATGAGTCTTACGTTCTTTTTTTTATTGATTGGCTGCCTCCCCCATGCCCCCCTCCTCCGCCCCCTACTGGAGCCCGCAACTCAGGCATGTGCCATTGACTGGAATTGAACCTGGGAGACCCTTCAGTTCGCAGGCCGATGCTCTATCCACTGAACCAGATCAGTGAGGGCGAGTCTTATGTTCTTGTACAAAAGGTCCATTTATTTAGTATCAGCCGTGTGTACTATCACAGAAATTCACCGGAGGGAGAGGTCAGTCAGGTGTGCTGGGCAAGATGCACAGAAATAGAACCTTGAATACATAGAAGATGATCTTTAGAAAAGCAGAGAAACTACCTCAAAAATTTTAAGAAGATAGGTGATGGATGGTTAAACAGCTTCTATCCATCCATCTTATTCATCCAAGACAGAACTAAGGAAAGTCTGGTGATACCCAGCGAGCGCTGGCTGGCCTCTTGTGATTTGCTTGATCATTTATATAGCTTTCTACTTTTCAGAACAATTGCATTATTGTAGCTTAAATCTGCTCTGTGCCTGTTGTCACTTGTTTATTTCAGGGAGGATGTTTTCATGCACCATCCCCTAAGCATAGGAATTTGTCCTTCACGTGTTCACTCAGTCACTGGACAGATATTATTTGAGTGCCTGTTATGTAACTGGCACTATTATAGATAGTGCGGAATACAGTAATGAATAGAAATAAGGTCTTTGCCTTTATGAAACTTACAGTCCAATGGTAGTGAAGCAGACCCATCAGGGCTCATAGTGGTTAAGAAAAATAAAGTAGGTCTTGGAACAGAGTGATAGGAATGAGGAATGCCTTTTGATTGGTCATGAAAGATCTCTCTGATAAGGTGACATTTGGGCAGAGGCCTGAAGGGAAGGAGGGACATGGTGCTGGGGAGAGGCATCCTGATCACAGGAAATACGGTTTCTGCATTCGAGGACCAGAGGCGATGGCTTGACTGGAATGGGATGAGCTGGGGGCAGGAGCAGCAGGGGCTGTGCAGAGCTTTGCAGGGTATGACGAAGACTTAGCATTTTCTCTGAGTACAGTGGGAAGGTGCTAGAGAATCCTGAGACCAGGAGTGCCAAGAACTGACTCACATTTAAGAGAGCCCAGTGAAGAGGCGTTTGCAAGAGTCTAGTTCAGAGGTGATGATGGCGGTGGCTTAGCCTTGGGTCGTAGCAGCAGAGGTGTTGAAAAGTAGTCAGGTTCTGAACATGTTTCTTAGGTAAGAACCATCAGGTTTTATTAATTGGACACGGGGTGTTAAAGAAAATGAAGGATGCCTTGGTGTGGCAAAATTGGCCAAAAGCACAAAACTGTGAGGCAGACCTGAGGAAGAAGCTTGGCTAGCAGATTGAGAGTTTGGATTTTGGACGTTCTAAGTGTGAATTGCCTGCTAGATGTCCACATGCTGATGCTGACTTGAAGTTCAAGTCTGGAGTTCAAAGTCAGGTCTGGGCTAGAGATTGAATTGGGGGAAACATCCAAATCTGGTGGTCTTCAAGCACAAGGGTACATGTGATTGTTTGGAAGAGAGAGAAGTAGGAGAAGAGAGGATGCCCAAGGCCCTGAGCCAGCCCCACATTGTGGGGGTCAGGGAGATGTAGGGGGTTGGGCAAGTAAGACAAGACACAGGAATGAGGTGGGGTGAGAACCCAAGAGAGAAGGGTGCCCTGGAAGACAGAATAGTGTATGCCAGGGGAGAAGGAGCCTGTAGGTCAAACAGGAGGACAGAGAATTACCTCATGAACCCACCAAATATGTCAGTCTTAACAAGAGAAGTTTGGGGGATTGATGGGGTGAGAGCCTGACCAGAGTGTGCTTAAGGCAGTGAGAGCCCTAGCCGGTTTGGCTCAGTGGATAGAGCGCTGGCCTGCAGACCCGGGTTTGATTCTGGTCATGGGCACATGCCTGGGTTGCAGGTTTGGTCCCTAGTAGGGGGCGTGCAGTAGGCAGTCAATCAATGATTCTCTCTCATCATTAATGTTTCTATCTCTCCCTCCCCCTTCCTCTCTGAAATCAATTTAAAAAAATATTAAAATTTTTTTTTTAAAAAGAGGTAGTGAGAGGGGAACAGGTGACGACAGTGAGTTCAAAACTCACTCAAGGAGTTTTGTTGTGAGGGGAACAGAGAAACAGGGCAGAGTAGCTGGAGGGGAAGGTAGGATTAAGTTTTGAGGTTTTTACTTTGTTTTTTTAAGAAGAAGGAAATTGCAGTGTATATGTATGCTGGTGGGAATGCTTTAGCTAGAGCGACCAACCATCCTAGTTTACCTGGGATGCAGGACTTGCAGTTTTAAACCTGGCTGAGTTGGTTACCCTAGATCTAGATGAAGGAGGAGGCTGTTTTTTGTTTTTTTTAATCCTTACCTGAGGATGGATGGAGATACACACACACACACACACACACACACACACACACACACACACTAGTGGCCCAGTGCACAAAATTTGTGCACGGGTGGAGGGGTATGGCCCTCAGCCTGGACTGCACCCTCTTCAATCTGGGATCCCTCGGGGGATGTCCGACTGCCCCCATAGGGATCAGGCCTAAACTGGCAGTTGGACATCCCTCTTGCAATCCAGGACCGCTGGCTCCTAACCACTCACCTGCCTGCCTGCCTGATTGCCCCTAACCACTCTGTCTGCCGGCCTGCTCACCCCCAACTGCAACCCCTGCTGGCCTTCTCGCCCCCAACTTCCCCCCCTTTCTGGCCTTATTGCCCCAACTGCCCTCTCTTGCTGGCCTGCTCGTCCCTAACCGCCTCTGCCTTGACCCCGCCACCATGGCTTTGTCTAGAAGGTCTCCTGGTCTAATTAGCATATTACCCTTTTATTAGTATAGATACTAGAGGCCTGGTGCATGAAATTTGTGCACTCAGGGAGGGTGTCCCTCACCCCGGCCTTCACTCTCTCGCAGTCTGGGAGCCCTCGGGGGATTTCTGACTGCCACAGAGGCGGGAGAGGCTCCCACCACCACCGTTGTGCTCATTAGCTGTGAGCCTGGCTTCTGGCTGAGCAGCACTTCCCCTGTGGGAGCGCACTGACCACCAGGGGGGAGCTGCTACATTGAGCGTCTGCCCTGTGGTGGTCAGTGCACATCATAGCAATTGGTCGTTCTGCTGTTCAGTCAATTTGCATATTAGCCTTTTATTATATAGGACTAGAGGCCCGGTGCACAAAAATTTGTGCACTCGGGGGGGGGGGGGTCGCCCAGGCCGGCCTGTGCCCTCTCGCAGTCTGGGACCCCTCGGGAGATAACGACCTGCTGGCTTAGGCCTGCTCCCGGGTGGCAGAGGGCAGGCCCAATCCCTAGGTGCAGCCCCTGGTCGGGCTCAGAGCAGGGCTGATTGGGGAGTTGGGGCGCCACCCCCTGTCATGCACAGAGCAGGGCGGATTGGGAGGTTGCGATGCCACCCTCAGTCACGCTCAGGGTAGGACCAATTGGGGGGTTGGGGCTCCGCCCCCTGTCACACTCAAGGCAGGGTCGATGGGGAGGTTGCGGCGCCACCCCCGTCACGCACAGAGCAGGGCCAATCAGGGGGTTGGGGCACTGCCCCCTGTCACGCACAGAGCAGGGCCATCACGGGGGTTGGGGCTCCATACCGGTGTCACGCACAGAGCAGGGCAATCGGGGTTGGGGCTCTGCTCCTGTCAGGCACAGAGCAGGCCCATCAGGGGGGTTGGGGCTCCGTACCCTGTCAGGCACAGAGCAGGGCCAATCAGGGGTTTGGGGAGCTCCCCCCTGTCATGCACAGAGCAGGGCCGATCAGGGGGTTGAGGAGCTCCCCCCTGTCACGCACAGAGCAGGGCCGATGAGGGGGTTGAGGAGCTCCCCCCTGTCACTCACAGAGTAGGGCCAATAGGGGAGTTGGGGCACCGCCCCCCTGTCAAACACAGAGCAGGGCGGGATCAGGGGGGTTGGGGGGGCCGCCCTCTATCACCCACAGAGAAGGCC